TTGCGGTAAGAGGCACAGTCCAAATCAGTGACACGTACGTCAATAATAGCGGTAGTACCTCGTTCAAACAAGCCACGAATAGAAAGATCACCACGGAAGAGCTCGGGGGCTGGAGGGGGATGAGAAGGGGGGGAGAAGGGGAAGGTAAGGTAGAATTGGGTGACCGGCAGGATAGTAGGGGCGGGAACAGAGGAAGGGGTGGTTCTGACTGGAACGCTAGAGGAACCAAAGCATTCACATGCAATAGAACCAAGTTCATTGCGGATTTCATTATGGCGACGGATGATTAAGCCGCCGCGTTTGCAATCCAGAGCATGTGGAACGCTGAAGGGACCAGTACAGCCATCACAAAGAGCTGGAAGAGCTGGGGGGGTAAGACCGAACCGGAGAAAAAGAGCATCACGCCATTCTTGAGCAGAGAGGTGAGTGCGTTTGGCAATATCGGGCATGACTGCAAGCCAGGAGCCAGTGCAACGACTGCGATTGAGGCGGGACTGCTCAGCCGGAGTGAGAGTGGCTTGATGGGTCTCGAAAGCCAGCTTGGTAGGCGTCGTGATGGCGTTTGGTGGCGCTGATACGACCTTCTGTGAGGGCTGTGCGATGGTCTTCAATTCTGAAGGGATGACGTGGGGGCTCAATGAAGGGGTGGCAGGGTCGTGGAGAGGGCTAGGGGGGATGGGAATTAAAGGCAAGGGGGCAAGAAGGGAGCGGGTAATTTCCGAAGTAATTTCGCGACTGGCAATGTAGCGGAGGGGGGCTTCCGTAATGGGGTTGGGGAGAGAAAGGCCAGCAACTTGTATGGGAGGGAAGTGAGAGCTGGGGGGGCAGTTCGCTTGAATGAAGGTTCCATAGAGCGGGGAGAAGCTCAAAATCCAGAGCATTTTCCAAGGGAAGCCAAGAGTCCGAGGGGACACGACAGACACGTTGCACAAATTGCCATTCCATTTGGAGAGACTTTTGGCAGGCAATATAAGCCGACTGGGGGTAGAACTGAGCCACTTCACAAGAGATTGAATGCAGGCCGTCCAAGTTGTGATTTTGGAATAAACCCAGGAGGAAAGGGCTTCAGGTTCGCCGATATGACCACCGAGAAATCTGGCACCATTGGTGACTTTGAGTTGAGAGCCGCGGGTACGCGTAAACTGAGGTGGTGGCTGTGTGAAAATTGGCACTGTGAGTAATAATTTTGCATTTATTGCGCTGAACAAAGTAGCCGAATGGTTTGCCTAGCCGAATAAGACGGTCTAGAAGCAATTGTAAATCAGTAAATTTGCCGGCAGCATTGGCATCATCGGCATACCGGAGATGCAGAAGGTGAGGGAACTCATGGTGAAGCCGTTTAATGAGAGGAACTAAGGCTATTGGTTTGGGTGTTTGATAGTCTAGTAGAGCTTCAGTTGGCTAAGACTCAAGGGAGGCACACTTCATTGCAAGCTAGTACCCAAGAGGAAAGCAGATGCTCCTGAAACTCTTTGCCAGTAAGCCAGAAATTCTATCTAATAGCCAGGAAGCTCCTCCTCTTCTTCTCATTCTTTTTCCTGCAAAAAATCGTGGAGGAAAGCTAGCTACCAGGTACGAGATTTGCAGGTAATTTTTCCATGCTAGTAAATTGTTAGGTGTTCGTTGAAAAATTAGTCGCAAGCCATCTGTTTCCCGCCATGGCGCCAAAAGAAGAGAGCAAGGAGAGCCAAACAGTTAGTATCAACATGAGATGTCAATAGGAGATGCGTCGGTAACAATGTAAAGAAGTCACTCACCAACAAGAGATCTCTCTCAGTCAACCATACATGGTGCTATCGAGAGTGCTGCTAGAGCCCTGTTTCTTGTCACCTTGTGTCACTCTCTCCGTCCAACTGCTCCGACTCCGTAGGATCCTCTGTTGTCGCCTCAGAGTGGTCATTCAAGCTCCGGAGGAAGGCCTCTCTCTCCTCTGGCTTCATTGATGTTATCCAAGACTTTGCCTTTGATAAGGCCACCTCCCGTTGACGTCCGAATTCAGTTTCATTGAGACTGAGGTTGGAGGCAATTTTTTGAGTGAGAGCAGCAAGCTCCGTCTCTTTCTCCTCTTGCCATGGTTGAACAGCGGTAACAACGTTATCTTTCACCTCAAGCCATCGAGCCATCCTATCTTCTTTCTTCGACAGCTTCGACGGGCATGGCTTTCCAGTTTTCCAGGCAATCAAGTCTTTGAGGTCTGCAGCTGTAAGCTCGCTCTGAAGCTTCTCTGATTCCATTACAGCCATCCCCTTTTGTTGCCGCTTCATCGCTTCAACAGTGGACTTCTTTTCCTTTTCGAGTAAATCCAATTCCTTGCTCAGCTTGGATCTCTCTGTGGCAATGAGGAAATCATCGTCGTTCAGTGCTGCTCCTCCGGTTACTTTGAACGTTTGACCTTGTGTTGCGGCGGCCTCCAGTGCGTCTTGTCGGGCCCGTGAGCGTGGAGCGGTAACAACAGCAGCTCTCTTTGCTTGTTGGAACTCTGGAGTTTGATATCGAAGCAAGCTTCCATTGTAACCAAAGCTATCGAGGATTTGACAGCACATTTCATTCCGTTGGTTCAAGTCCTTGAGCAATGAAGCCTTAGGATCGACAGAATCAATTGGTTGCCCTTCAGCATCAACAACCAGTTCATGTCGGATTTTTGGATCCTGCAACGCAGCACGTGTGTATTTGGGGTAGATGCCAAGCTTGTTGGCCCAAGCATGCTGCGCCTTTGTGGAGGAGAACGCAATTTCAATTGCATTCCGGAGGAGAGGAAAGTTTGGATCCTTGTGCTCTCGTCGATGAGCACTGCCGTAGCACAAGAGACCTATATCATTGCGTGTGATTGAGTTTGCTTCATCTGGAGTATTCTTTCGATGCTCCCAAAGGATCTGAAGGTTGTCAAAGAAAACCATCTTGAACAGACCAAAGAGCATATCCATGATTTGGAGGATGTGAGTAGTGTTCGGTGGTCCGGAGGGAAACAGATAAATGCCAAGTAACCGCAGCTCAACTAACATGTCAAGATTGGTCCGCCCAGGACCACCATCAACGAGCAGTGTAACTCTCTTGCCTGGAGTATCGGAGGTATCTTCAGCAACTAATGGTATAAAGTTGCCTCGACACCACTTGAATAGTTGCTCTTTGTTCATTCCTCCTTTCTTGTTAGCTCCGTAAGACGCCGACTGCTCTTTGCTCATGCCTTCACCTAGCAAGAACTGACCAGTTGTTTGCAGAATATCAACGATGAACTCTGCAGAGACAGTCATGTTAGCCTCTTCCTGGGCGTCCGACGGAATTTGGAAGTGTTCTGGGATCTTCTCGCCGGAGGCAAAGCATCCTGCCAGGAGAGTGCAGTGGTAAGAGCTTTTGTGCGCCTCATAAACAGACTCGGCTTGAAGGACAGGATGATAGAATTTCAATGGAGGCCGGCCTCCCTTTTGTGTCTTGGTATCGTCAAGACTGAGGCCAGACTCATCAATGTTGGCAATCCGTCGACCTTGACTCTCATCGATCCAAGTAAGCTCCCCTTTCTCTTCCCATTCTTCCTCTGGATTTTCGATTGCTGCTCCAATGGTGATCAGGTGAGCCTTGAAGGAATCAAACCAGAGATTGATATTACTATAGGTAGCCCAAGCAAGCCTCCTCTTTTCGACACGATTTGGCTTGCCACACTCTAAGGCATCCCCTATGTCATTCTCCACTCGTTCAAGCATCCAGCGTCCCCTGCGTTTGCCCAAACCTTCCTTCATGTTGACGCATGCATTTAATAGACGTGCAAGCTGGGTCTTATCAACATCTGGAGAGAGAGCAGAGAAAGTTTCGACAGCTCCACAGATTGCTTCAAAGCCAATGGGATCAATCCTTCCCTTTGGGCCGCGGCGCTTGGGACTCTTGCCGGCATCTCCTCGCTTGACCATGTTGCGAATAGTCTTTCCGCAAAGCTTGACTCCATGCTCTTCATTGTATGACTTTGCAATAGTCTCGGCGGAGCGTGGAACATACTCAAACCCAAGATCTTTTTCTGCTTCAGCTGTGATGAGCTCTTCATTCCACTCCAACGATGCAGCCTTGTAGAATGCATTGAGAGTATCTCGATCTTGCTTCTTCTGTTTGCGGACAGCTGCTGCTTGACGACCGGTTAGGCGATTATTCTTCGCAAGCTTTTCCTTGAGACTCTTCTCCGCCGCAGCTCTATCTTTTGCAGTAATGTGAGGTAGAGGCTCGGTGATTGCAGTACTCTCATCTTGGTCGGCAGCTCTTGAGGCTTCAGATTCAGATTGGAACGATTTCGATTTACGACGAACTTTTTGTCTCAGTGCTTTGTCATCTTGGTCCGGAGTGGCGAAGCCAGCCCATACCATAGCCTCTTTGACATTCATTTCCTTGGCTTGATAGTGAATACTAGCCGCTCTTGCTACCTTCTTCTTCTGCGGCGTCTCATGGGGACGCTTCTTCGACGCCATCTTGCTACTTGCTATCGATAGATAGATTACGGATAATGAGACTTTCATCTCCACGATTTTTATCTTTATTATCTAGCTATTAAGATTGGGCTATTGATATGATCCGAGTGTTGCCATGCAGGAGGTGCCCATGTTTCTCTGGTCGAAACCATTTCATTTTCCCATTGCCTGGGAGGTGAAATGGTTTCCGAGAGAATTGTGAGGGCTGGTTTCAAAGTGGCGGCAGGCTCCCCTGCAGGCGTTACATGGAAATGGAAAAAATACTAGTTAATCCTGTACTGTAGAGGCATTCATGGGTCAATCGGTGCTTAGCCGTACGCATATACGGCACCATTGTCCACACAGCTTCGGTGGCTTTCTAAAGAGTGATTTGCCAAATTGTGTGACCGGTGTTTGATCATCTTCACGGTCGCTGATTGCATAGAGCTTGTCCAACCTGTTTCGTCTAAGTATTCATAAGCACTGGTTGTCCGTCTTGGACAAAGTTAGTTGTACTGCCCAATGTAGATTTCTACGTTGATTTGTAGGTGCGTCACTGTGTCTTTGATCAGAGACAACACACCTGGCAGGCTTTTAGAATTTGTTCCACGAAGACAGAATTTGAGCCACTCATCACACGGCCCAACAAGCAAACAGGGCAATAAAGAAGAGAACTCACGCATCACACAAGCTCTACTCTTGAGGAAAGACTATTGGATTGAAGGCAGCTGCCGACACTTATTCTGTTTCTGTCTGTCTGAGGTTGTCCCACCACGTTGCCTGTCTTTGGTGTGAATGAATGAATCGAGAGAAGAACGCTTTCAAACAGTTGACAACCCGCTTTCGTCTTTGGTAGCCACCAAAATTTGCGGAAGACAATCTCACATATTCTTTAAGCTACCCACCGTCGTTATCTTTTCCAATTGCACCAGCCATGATGATGATGATGAGATCCTCTCGTTTAACTTTGGTCGCCTTGGCATTGGCACTTTGTGAGGTGGATTCCTTCACGGCTACCCACACTACCACTACTACCGGTAGGAACAAGAATACCCAACTGGATTTGGTTCCCGCGCAAGGGGCCCAACTGGCGGCCGCCTTTACGGTTGCCTGTGAAAAGAAGATACCTCCCGCCGCCACGGCCGACGAAACGAGCATTAGCTTGTTGGCCAAAACCAAAGCCAAAATGTCCCGCATCTTTTCCATTCCCGGAGCCATCATGGGACGACATCCTGCGGCTGCTCCGGCATTGTTGGAGTTTGGTGCGCTCGTAGTAGACAAAGAGGAGGTTGTGGATGACGTGGTCTTGTATCCATTGGTGGGATTCCAATTTGTCAAGGGCAAGAATGGCGATGCGGTGGTGCTTCCGACTCAATCCAATCCGTCCTGTCGAATCTCCAATCTGCCCGATCAAGAAGTCTACGGATGGTACTGCACAGCCTGCCGATTGGATAGTATCTACAGTGATACCTATTGTGAGGAACCCAAGATTGAACAACACAACATGGAAGACACCATGGTGGATCTGTCCTTGTAGACACGACCACACACACCCACAATTTCTAACAAATGATCACTGCAGCACACTCTCTCTCTCTCTCTCTCGTTTTTGGAACCAGCTACCCCACGCAACATGCAACGCTGTATCTATCAACACATTCGGTTCGGTACTCCAAGACAATACAACCAGCAACGACGACAACAAAATACACAGGAACATACGGTACCCGCCACAGATCCACAAGACATATTATACCCATGGTCGGCCTGTCGAAACGAGAGCATGGAATGACAACACGACAACTTTCTCCATTATGCCTCTAGAGGGACCCATTCTTTCCGGGCAGCACCTACTTGACGGTGAAACAACACCCTGACTGCCACCTAACAATACTGCCACCAGCATGCATCCTGACTACTCTCATCTTTACTACTTTATACAATGTACCATTTCTGTTGCCACCTGTTCTAATGTAATAATGGCAACTATTTCACCGACTTTATGCATGGATGCTTCTGTCCTTCCAATCTGTCTCTGTAGTTTACTACCTGGTTAGAATGTCAGTGCGATGCGTTCTGTTTGAGTTTGCATGAGTGAGAAAAACTGTCATTCGCCCACCGCCAAAGAGTCAAGCTGACTCAATCGGTGGGATCTTCCTGTTGGTTTGGTTCTACTTTACGTCAAAGTGGTTACATTATCTTGTCGTTTCTTTATTTATTGTTTATTTTTTTTGATGATAGCAATGTTTTAATATTTGGTGGAATCTGGATAGGTGCATCCGTTCTGTTCCACAGGGAGCAAATCACCCGCGAAAATGCCCATTTCGGTGAGCTTGGCTTCCATGGCAGCAATGGTTTGGGTGTCTGCCACGGGCTGTCGGGAAAACAACCACAGACCAGAGCCATTTGTGTCCAAGAAGGAACTACCTTGCTTGGTGGTGCAAAAGGTGCGGCCATCGACAGTCTCCTTGACTTCGGTTGGTTGGCCTCCGCTGACAATGGCCCACGTGTAGTCGTCTCCGGCATCGTCCTCTCCTACAGCCAAGACCCAGTAGGGACCGGCCACTGCGGAAAAGGCTACTTGGAACAAGCAAGGGGCAACTTGCAGTGAGCCACCCTCTACTTGCTGTGCACACAGGCTCGAAAAGACAGAATCGGTATCCGAGTTTTGAGCAGCCCCATCCACACCACCTGTCTTGCCCGCATTTTGAACTTCAATGAAGCCATCATCTCTCTCATTGTAGGTAGCCACCACACAGTTCAATTGATCTTCCGACTGGTAGGGGTTGACTTGTTGCTTTTGAATGAACCAAGACTTCTCAATGTACTTGGTGACATTGAAATCATCCTCACTTAGTGGAGTTACTGTTTCACAATCACTTGCTTCGTCTTCACAGTTGGAAAAGGGGAGCCAGCACGGGAGTTGCAGCTCTCGTTCTCCTTGTGTTGTGGAGCTTCGTAGATAGGAAGTTGTTTCTTCTGCACTTGTTGTTGCAAGGGCAGAGAGAAGAAACGTGGCAGCGCAAGTTGTAGCTTTCATTTTGGATGATTGTTTGGTCTGTTTGTTTTGTTTGTTTGCTTTTCTTGTATTGGAATTGTGAGAGTTGCCTGCACTTTGAAGAAAGCTAGAACTCGTCACTCGGAAGGCTGAAAACCAGCGGGTCGGGCCTCTTACCGTACGATATACCGTACCCAGCTGACTGGCAAAACAGCGCAGAGTACGTGGCTGTAGTTTGCACGATCACAATAGTGTTTCCTGTGGGTGAGGTCACCACGTTTCTGCCGTGCCGGTTTGATTACAACCAATCACAAAGCCTGGAACAATACACTGTTGATGACGAAGAACGCGACCTAGCAAGCCAGAACGGTACCAGAACCGTGCATGTACGAGCTCGGATCCTCCAACACCGTGCGTACACAAGCGGCCCCAACAACAGATGATGATACACGGAACCGGTTCCAAAGAGAGGAGCATTCACATGTAGTGGTTCCAGTACCTACTACTAGCTAGTCTAGTCTAGTCCAGCTTTTCCCCCCAATAGAATAGTCAGGGATTAACTAACTGTGCTCCATTCCAACAGCACCAGCAGAAGAAGGCAACCTCTTCTGGTAGCTCGCCAACCACTGGCAGCATCTCGTAGGATTAGCCATCCTCCCATAGCATTCCACAGGTACCATACCAGCTCTATCCCGTGGGATTGTTGCTTGCTGCAAGTTGCCCAGAGCATATTCGTGCGGATAGGACTGTAGGGTCCCTAAAGGTGGTCAAAAGCCTTTAGAAGAACCTCCTTCAAACCAGCTGGACAATGGGGCGAAAGGGGCAAGTGAGAGTCCTTTTTAATTTTAAGATCATCCAGTCATGACAGCAGATGTGCCATCCACAGAATCCAATTTGCTGGCTGCTATTTCTGCTCGCAGCATTTATAAACCCCCTCCCCTGGACACGGCACCAGCGGTTCTCTGTCCGTACCAAGCTTCTGCGCGGCACACTGACATCTATGCCAATGATTTCTTGTAGGCAATCCAAAGCAGTCCCATAGCCCGGCTACACCTCCGGCGTCACCGTCTGCACACCATTGATGTGTGCCATGTTTCGTCCCGTAGATTCTTCATACCCCCCACAATGCAAAAATGTCCCACCCATGACAAAATTCCTTCAGGGTGACCCCTACTTCTGCACCCGCAAAATCGTTTTGGGCTGGTCGCTGGACACCGTCCGCCAGACCTTGGAACTTCCAACTCATCGCCTTCAGCGCCTCCAGGAGCTATTTGACCTCCTTCGGCTCAAATCTCATGTCTCGCTCCAAACTTGGCACAAAATTTTGGGTCAGCGCCAAAGCATTTCTCTTGGCATCCCTGGCTCCCACAGGTTTTTCCCCCTCTTTCGGGAGATCTTCGTTCAGCATACTGACAAATATCGCCTTCGCATCACTCCTGCGATGCGTGATATATTTGACGATTTTGAACACTTAACCCATTCCCTTTCAGAACACCCCCCCGAAATTGCTGAAATGGTTTCCGATCATCTTGTCCCTGTGGGTGCCCACGGCACCTTTGGTTTAGGTTTGGGTGGGGTCTGGCTTCCTGCCACCACCAACAGCAACAGCAACCTCCCACCTGCTCTCTGGTTTCCCCAGGATCTGATCAACCAGCATCTGGTCTCCTTCAAAAATCCCACGGGCACCATCACCAACTCTCATTTGGAACTGGCTGGCCTCATCACTCATGAAGATGTGTTGGCCCAGCAGTTTCTCCTTCGGGCCGCACCATTGTTCCCCTTGGAGATAACAGCATTGTCCACTAATGGGGGCCCCATCCGGGACTCTTGACACTTATTTGACACTGTGTGGCAATTTAGTGGATGACGACTCAGCCAGGTGGGGGTTTCCCCATCCATTGCCCGCGTCATTAAAGCCACTCCGTGGCCTTAGATTGTTAATCTAACGAGTAATTTAACCCCCTACGCCCGTTGTCTCTTGGAGCCACAAGGGATCCACCACCACCACCGGCCCCGCCGCCTACCTTCTTTGGCTCCGGCGCATCCTTCACCGCCACTACCGTTGTGTGTCCAAGGCGGATTACATCCCGGGCCCAGCCAACCAAATGGCTGACGACTGTTCACGTTTGTGGAATTTATCTGACTCACAACTCCTTGATTTTTTCAATCACCGTTATCCCCAGGACCAACCTTGGCAGCTTGCTCCCCCGAGACCCGAGCTGCTCTCCTCTGTGATCTCGGCTCTGCAAACGCAGCGGCCATAAGGACCGTCGCTGGCAGGCAGATTTGGCAAACTTTCATTGCCCAGATCACCGGCATTGACTCCTATCTCAACGGGCTCACGCCCGGTCAGCAGCTATCTTCTGCTGCATGGATGTGCAATGACACTGCCCCCTGGTAACAAAAATTGCCAAGGCTTGGAGGGAAAAGCCAACCACTACAAGTTGGTACTTTCCATGGGAAAGCTGTATCCCATGCATGATTGTCAGGTTCATTCCCTTCTTGTATTCCCTTATTTGTTACGACGTGCATCCATAAACGCCAAAGGCCGCCTCTTGTTTGCTATCTAGCTAGGTAGTAGCTATCTTGCACTCGGGCATCCCACCGAAACCGCGTACGGTACATTGCACTAGCCAGTACTGTACCGTACGGCGCAACCTTTACAATAGTACAGTACGGTACTACTAGTGGTACTTTACGCAGAATGGTTTGAAAAGGGTCCGACTGAAGGGGCAAGTGAGAGTCCTTTATTTGAGATCTTGCGATTGGCAGCGTGGTTGCCACACAACCAACCCAACCAATCATTACCGTAGTTGTTTCACCATGGCGTCGTTGTTGTTGGATCCAGAGCTGCTGAAGGGTCTGAGTGAGGATCAAAAGAAGGAAGCCCTTCAAGCAGCGGCAGCCGCCAAGAGAGCAGAAGAACGTGCGGAGCAAAGGGCTTTGGAACGCGCTGTAAAGAAGCGAGAAGAGGAGCGACGATTGGAACGAGAACGAGAGCTGCAGCAGAGTGCTAATAGCAATAAGACCAAGAGCAAAGGCAGCAGTAATGTCGTCTTTATCCCCAAACGCAAGCGACAAGAAAAAGAAAAAGAAGAACCAAAGCGTTCTAAACCAACCAATGGAACAGCATCCACATCTTCCAAACCCACACCAGATACTACTACCACTTTTAGAAGGAACAACAATAGTAGCACCAATCATCACCATCACCATCCACAACAGCAACAACAACAACAACCATCATCTTCTGAATGGAGCCACCGTGCGAATGAAGCGATCAAGAAATCCTATTTGGGAAAATCGGCCGAAGATTTGGAACGAGAAAAAGCGGAAAAACGCAAAAAGGCGCGCGCCAACAAGAAAATCACGTTTCGGTTCAAATGGGACGAAGAAGACGATACCTTTCAAGAAGACGATCCTCTCTATACCACTTCCCAACGTCGTGGCACTGCTGCCAAACCAAAAAAGGACAAACTCGCCTCTCTCGTATCGACCAGTGTCGATACAGTCCGCCAAAAATCACTGGGTAGTATGACAACTCGCGATTGGAGAATTCTCCGTGAAAATTACGAAATCTCCGTCAAGGGAGGACGAGCGCCGCCACCGATGCGGTCCTTTTCCGAAAATCCATTGCCGACATTACCACCGTTGCATCCGTCCATTTTGGATGCGTTGCACAATGTCATGAAATTTCGAGAACCGACACCGATTCAACGACAGAGTATCCCCATTGGATTGCAACGACGCGATTTGATTGGGATTGCCGAAACGGGAAGTGGAAAGACAGTTGCCTTTGGTGTCCCCATTTGTAATTATTTGATCAATCTACCCGCGACTGTTTTGAATCGCGTGGCCGAAGAGGGACCACTGGCCATTGTCATGGCACCCACGCGTGAAGTATGTACCAAGAGATTTTGTTGGGTGTGCAAGCAATGCTTCTAGCTACTAGGTTTATGATACTCACTCACTTGTGCGTTGCCTTTTGTCTCTCTCTCTCTTTTGTACACACAGCTCGCACTTCAAATCAATGAGGAATTCAGCAAAATGCTCGCACGGCAACGACACATTAAAAACTGTTGCATCATTGGAGGACAGCAATTGCAGCATCAAGCTGCCGAATTGCGCAAGGGGGTACATATTGTGGTGGGAACTCCCGGGAGAATCAACGAGTGTCTGGAAATGGCCTACTTGGTATTGAATCAGTGTGCTTGTGCCGTCCTAGATGAAGGTATGTATAATTGTGTGTGTGTGTGTTGGAGTGCGCACTGGCAGATCAGATCTGACATTGTGTTACTTGTGATTCTCTCTCTCTCTTTCTGTTCTGGATCTCTCTCTTTCTGTTCCACAGGAGACAGGTAAGAGATATCATGTCCAAACTGCGATGCACTTCTTCCAACAACTTGCATTTCCCTCACCTCGTTCTTATATGCTTGCTTGCTTGAACAACAACAGAATGATTGACATGGGCTTTGCTCCACAAATTGAATCGGTGCTGGATGCCATGGGAGCCGCGCTCAAGTCGGAAAACGAGGAAGAAGCCTACGAACAAGAAAAGGAAGATGTCCTAACGCAGGGAGTCCCCAAGTATCGCGTCACGGCATTGTTCAGTGCCACGATGCCCATGGAAGTCGAACAAATGGCCAAAAAGTACCTCCGTCATCCGGCCGTTGTCAGTATTGGAGACAAGGACTCGGGCAAGAATGCCCGCATTGTCCAACGGGTCATGTTCTTGTCGTCACCCGCGCAAAAGGAAAAGGCACTTCGCGATTTATTGTCGCGAACCATGTACAATCGAGACGACAAGACCATTGTGTTTGTCAATGAAAAGAAACACGCCGATGGTGTGGCGAGAATGGTAGAGCGTATGGGACGGACCTGTGTGGTCTTGCATGGAGGCAAATCGCAAGACCAGCGTGAAGAGAATCTGGAACGATTCCGGAAAGGAGGGGTGGTGCTGGGTAAGGAAGTTATTCGTTTTGTTCGTTTTGCAGATCGCTTGGAAACTCACCGTAGCTTTTGCTTCCGTTTTGTTGTACTTTTAGTTGCGACGGATGTGGCTGGTAGAGGAATTGATATTCCCAACGTTTCCCATATTATCAATTTTGATCTGCCAACCCGGTCCATTGAGAACTACTCACATCGTATTGGGCGAACAGGACGTGCGGGCAAAGAGGGTCTGGCCACCTCTTTCATCACGGACGAAGACGAAGGCATCATGGCTCCTTTGAAAGCTTACTTGGAAAGCACCGGCAATCCAGTTCCGGTTCGGCTTGCCAAACACCCCGCAGCTTCGTCCGGTGTCCAGAGTAATCTGATTTACTAGGCTAGTACTAGTGTATTCATGAGAGCGATCGTTAGTGCCGCAGCTCGGAGCCAACGGGAGCTCTCCTGGAGTTGATTTGCGGCGTTGCGTGCAAACTCCTCCTAAAGTCTACGTGGGCAGCGGCGTTTGATCGTTTCGAGCTCCGTTCACAGAGCAACGCAAGAACCCACAACAACAAAGGAGACCAGCCAGGACAAGAATACCCCTGCCGTAACTCCGAATATATTCACATACTAGTAGCAAAAAAGCACAAGCTTCAAAAAGGGTTTAAAACTTATCTACCTGGCTGCCACTGGAACCGCACCCGACTTTGTAGCCGGTTTGTTCCTGGGTTGTTTGTTCCCTCCTCGTGGCCTCTGTGCTGTTTCCTTGGGTCGCCGTTGGGCTTGTTGTCGCCTGGCTTGTGCTGGTTTCCTGGGGGCGGCTGCTGCGTCGGTAATGATGGTTGCGGGTATCCCATCCGGCATTGGCAATGGCGCCGGCTCTTTGATCCATCGCGTCGACACGCCCGTGACGACCTTTCGAGAGGGCGCTTTTTGCTTGGCGTCGCCATCAAACACACTTTTGCGCGGCGCCAATGTCACCTTGGCGGCCGCGACACCCGTAGCAATCCCAAAGGGTTTGTGCAAACAAATGGCATTCAAGGGCGTGATACTGCCACAGGAGGGACATGCCACTTGCACCGCATCTTGTACCGACAAGAGCGCCTTGCCACATCCCAAACACAAACTCTCCATGTAAGTGCCCGTTTCAATGGCATGATGGGTTTCTTCAGGCTTGCGCAAAATGGTGAATTCTCCCGGCATGACTTCGACCGTGTCGCGGGGACGCCCTTGAAACCATTTTTCGTGTTCCGCTTCGTCGTCGTCACTAAAGTGAACACTTTCGACGCTGGCAATGGAAAAGATTTCGTCACAATCATCAGAATTGTTGTTCTTGTCAATTTCGTTGGGACCAAAGAAAATACTCAGTGCTTCCATGCCCTTTTCGTCATCGTCGTCTTGTTCATCCTCCAAGTCGATTTGCTCTAGATACGATGCCATGCGCGACTTGACAAACCACTTGTCGTCCTTCTTGTCCAAAATTTCTTGCAGGCGGTCGCCATCAAATTTGTAGACACGTCCTCCGAAGAGCGGACGAGGAGCAAATAGATTTTGGATATGAAAGTGTCGTTTCTTGACCGTCAACATTTCGAGGTAGTAGCCAGGTGGTGCTTCATCAACGTCCTTTTTGGTGAGAAATTTGTCGTAATGACGAGAATACTCGACCGTGGTCTTGATTTGTTTGGGTTTCTTTTGTTTCTTCTTATCTGCCAGGGCCTCTTGTTCGTCTTCTTCGTCACTCGTATTATTGTTGTTGTTGCTATTGTTGTTTTCCTTGACGGTCAATTGGAACCAACCCACGGGTTCTACGGTTTCATCTTCGACATAGTCGTCTTGTTGTAGTTGTAGTTGTTTTGCTTGTCGTCTCTTTTTCTTGTTTTCCATGCGTCGTTTGGCCAATTCTTCTTGTAAGGATTGTTGTCGTGCCAGACTCAGTTTTGGGACTTTCTTCTTCTTCTGTTTCTTCTTTTCGGGATGGTTGTCCATGTGACTGTCATCGACCATGTCTTCTTCTTCTTCATCTTGATGTTCCTTGGCCTTCATGGCAGCTTGGACACTCTCTAAAAAGGACATGGTAGATTCAGGAGCCTTATCTTTTTTCGTCTTGGTCTTTTTCGGTTTGGAATTGACAGCGAGAGGCTCGGTAGGCTTGGACTTGACCTCAGTAGGTTGTTGCTTTGGTGTCTTTCTTCGGGTTGGTGGAGACTCTACCGGAGGAGGTGGTGGCGGTGGTGGCAAAGGACGTCGCGCGGCTGGACTCTTTTTGCGGGGCTGTTGGTTGGCTTCTTCCATTTGCCGCACGGGATCTTTGGCACTCGGCTTTTTCTTCTTCTTTGTCGTTGTGGTTGAGGCTGCTGTCGTGTTGGGTTGGTCCATCATGGAACTGACAGACTCCAAGAAACTTCCCTTGGGAAGAGAGTCTCGAGACTTCTTCTTTGTCTTCTTGCCATTGCTGGATGTCGTCGGAACTTCCATAGAAGCAAGCTTTTTACCGGCCTTTTTCCGCCGTTGTTCTTGGACTGCGGCTTCGTCTCGGAGCGCCATGGTCTACAGTATCTAACTATCTATCTATCTGCCTCTGTATCTATCTGGGTGGTTGTGCTGGGCGGTTTGTGGGTACCGCTATCTGCTTTGTGGGATCCAGCGCATCACTGGTTCTTGCATGTTGGTGGACTGGGGCTTGAGGTGTGTGTGGTGATGCAGGTTTCCTTGCCCTTGCGAAACGAGCTCGGGGCGATTTATGCGGAGCTCGGGGGAACTTAAGCCGAGCTCGGGGAGATTGAAACCTTCTTAAGCCGAGATCGGGGAGACTTAAGCAAAGCTTGGAAAAGCTTAAGCGGAGCTCGGGGAGACATAAGCCGAGCTCGGGGCGAGTGAAACCTTGTTTGGCTCAGTCACGACTCAGCAATCCCTTGGATCGATCGTGCTTTCCGTGGGGTCGTGCCAGCGCCTAACGGTACCGGTACCGGTGACCTGTCCCCAAAGCAATCAATGGTTGCTCGCTCTCATCTCATGTCTTGGCCAGCATACCTGTAGTAGATCAGCAGCTAGAGTGGAAGAGTCCAGCTTAGCTTCTAGTCTAAAAAGTGTGGGGTGAAGACAGCCAAATAGCTATGACAATACTATCACTCCAGGCTGAGCAAAGCAACCAAGTCAGTCTAAAGAGTTGGGCCACCGGAATGAAAGCTATTTCCTTGTACTTTCAAAATAGAAAAATTGAGAAACACAAGAACTATTAATACCTTGAAGACAAGCGACGGAAGTATGTTTCGTGCTCCGCCATGTCAAGATCCTCCACCATGCAAGATCATTATTTTTTGTAATGGCGTGCTGTACCGTACATGTACAGTCGTACTCGAACGGGGGCGCATTCGTTTCGGTTATCCTGAACCCTTTCTAAAAGGGTTTTTAGATTTCCGTCCCAGACATGCATGAATGCAGCCACGCTGTTTCCTTCGCTGATAGTCACCACGCTGAGATTCATATAATAAGCAACAACCTTTTTCGTCCAGCTCTTCGTGTCCCTCCTTCATTGCCTCTTGCTGCTTGTGGTGAGCGCGCAAAGGTAGATTAGATTCACCATGGGAAATCTTTTGGGAGCACCAGTGACAGAGAAGGAAACACACATTGGTGAATCTCGCGATGACAATGGGCTCCAATTCGGGGTGTCATCCATGCAGGGATGGCGGATTCATATGGAGGATGCTCATGTGGCAGAGTGCCGTTTATTCGCAGCAGAGCTTGTGGACGAGACAGCTGCTAGTGAAACCAATAATAACAACAACAAGACATACAAACAGATTGAGCTACCGGGCCATTCCATTTTCGCTGTCTTTGATGGCCACGGTGGAACATTTGCTGCACAATACTCTGGCCGTAATGTCTGTCGAGTCCTCTCTCATCAGCCCAAGTTTGTCAAGTATGCAAAATTTATGCAGGAGCGTGCCCAGAAAGAAAAAGTCTTTACCAAATCCACAGAACGAGTCCAATACATTACCACTGGTTTGGAGTACATAGAAGGGGCACTACGAGACACCTTTGTGGACTTGGACATGGAGATCGCATCGGCACTACAGGGTTCACGCATTCCAGAGGCGGACCAACCATACCATGAAGAAAAACAAATAGATGCTGCAGATGACGACAGAGCAACACAAGGAATGGACACCAGAGGTGGTGACCCACACCAAGACACTCTGTCGGAAGCCGATTCCACACTCCAGCTTTTGGATAAGGAAGGAGATTCGGGAACAACTGCATGTGTGGTAGTAGTAGCTCCTCAATGGGTGGTTTGTGCCAACGCTGGTGATTCCAGGTCTGTGTTTAGCAAGCATGGGCACAAGGCAGTGCCACTCAGCTACGATCACAAACCCGATGATGAAGAGGAGGGACGACGGATCCGAGCCGCTGGGGGATATGTGGCCGGGGGCCGTGTGGAGGGTGATCTAGCCGTCAGTCGAGGGCTAGGTGACTTTCGATTTAAGAATATGGAAACAGTGCTCGCTGGAGCCACTGGTCAAAACGACAAGACTTCAGTCGATCAAATGGTCGAACCGGATTACCAGAAAGTTTCGCCGGTTCCAGATGTTGTCATCCAGAATCGCAGTGCAGAAAAAGATGAATTCATCATTGTCGCTTGCGATGGCATTTGGGATGTGCAGACAAATCATGAGGCGGTGAAATCGGTTGCGGAGATGTTTGAAGAGGGTGAAACTAATTTGGGGTTGATCTGCGAAGAGGTGAGTACCTGGTAGTGGTGTTCTTCTCACGTGTTCGATGTGTTGCTGCTTCTGTGCCCGTTTCTCAGAGAATAGATAAAAATATACTTTGTTGCTTGTTGCAGTTGTGCGACACGTGCTTGAACATGGGAAGCAAAGACAACATGACGGCTTTAGTGATAAAATTTGAAGGCCAACCTGTTGGCAATGGTGGTGGGGTCACAGCTAGAAGACAGCAAAGGGACTCATCGCAGCCCAACAACGACAACCAGCAATAACCTTCATAATAACGTCATGCTGGGTAAGCAAAAGATACCACGACAATTCTGAACTGATACCGTAACAATCATTGGGCCCCTCGTACGGAGTCGAAAGCTTGCTACCGGTACCGGGGACGCCTAGTCGACGCACCTTGCCTGCACCATACATCTTTTGGGTGTCATTACGAAATACCCTTGAGTATCCAAGTTCATTCTTCTGCGAGCAAGACGTCGCTGGTTGCTTACTTGAATGAGATTCACCTCGGTCAAGCCTGCTGTTGACTCAAGATCATTATTTGCGGGGGCTGTCTCATGGCTGCATGCATCGCTTATAGACACAATCAGCAAAGGCTTTGATATAGCAATCTTCAAACCAGCACATGTATATAAGACAGCCTTGGCGTCATCTTCACACCAATACCCTCTCCAAAGCATTGGCCCTCCTTCTTGGACATGTTGGGAAGGTTGCACCTGACGGGGCGACGGGGCGACCTCACCGGCTGCGGGCTCAAAAACCCAGCATGGGTGTGCTTAAAACCTTAACCCTCTATTGACACTCATACCCGGAAGACAACTTTGGCAAATTGGTAGATGGGGTATTATTTATTACTTACACAAATATGCAAAGTACTTTGTAACTTGAACCCTATATGTACCGCATCTACCCGTCAAAACTGGCTTCTTACGTTGAGACACATGCGATCGGTCATCCTGCAGGATCCTCGAGGATCCTGAACTCTCACAGTCAAAAGACAAAAGACCCTATTACTGTACCGGTACCTTCTGATTTCCGCCGAAGCCTATTGCCCCTTTGCAGACAGCGATGCATTCTGTTATCGATCGATCCTCATTGCTCTCCCCGTACGCCCACCACAACAGCCACCCACCACCGCAGCCACTGCTCTGCCTATAGCCCCCCCCCTCCCTCCTTCACGTATCTATTTAGACTAGTATTTGTTTTCGTTTCTGAAGGCATAATATTTCGCGTTTCGATCGATTCCCCACTCCGCTGCCCTGTGCCGAGCTTCGCCCATCGATATCGCCTCCCTCACTCCGGTCTATTTGGCTACTGTAGATCAATGACACTGCCACATTAAGCAAGAGCATCCATGCAAGCAAATGAGCCACTTTGCTATCATAGGCAAGAAGAACCAAGGCAACTACTACTACCGTACCAGGACTGACATGTCCAATCATGATGATGACAAGCCAAATTTAACAACTGCGCAATTGCCAACACTTGCAGAAATCCGACAACATGATGCTAGAGCAAAACAATCTTGTATGGAGTTAATGGAAGACATTGTGCTTTCGTCAATGTTGACACAGAAGTCCACAGCTAATGCTGATGACAACATCCGCTCTGCCCAAACTGCTACGGGCTCTGTTATTGAACTTCCCCACATTCAAAACAAAAGAACCAACAACAGCCAAGTGGCTGCCGAAGAAGGTGTGTTTGCTCCAAGTCTGTTCGAGCAGCTGGTCGAGCTACCAGAACCTATCCCAACAAGGACCCCACAACAAAGAAGTACCCCTGGGGCATTTCACATGGATGGTATCCCAACCGATCATCAGAACGCCACAAGCAATGAAGTCCCTACACAGAACCAGCAGAGGCAGGATGGCGGCATTCCCAGCAATCTTCCTGTTGCCAGTGGCGTCGATGTGCAGGTCTCAGATTCATTGCCCCGTGCGGAACTGTTTTTCCAGAGAAGTAAACAATACTGGCGACAACAATTGTGTCTTGGGTTTTCAATGGAGCTCACTGTGGTTCTGCTAGGAATTTCTATATTTCTTGTGGTTTTCCTCATCACTAAAGATGGAGAAGTTAGTACCACCAGTGAATCAAGGCAAAGCAATAAAAATTATGGAGCTATCCATATTCCTGCTGCAGCTCCAGGTTCAACCCAAGCACCAACTCCATTTTTGGACGCACTCAATCTACCTGACTATACAGTGGATGCCATCCAGGAACACCCAAGGTCCCCTCAGTCCAAGGCCTATCATTGGCTAGTCAGCAACACAACTCATCTTGCACAAGTTCCAAAATGGAGAACGACCCAAAGATTTGCTTTGGCTACGTTCTTCTTCTCCACTAGGGGAGACTTTTGGGTGAATCATCATGGCTGGCTAGACTGGGAAGTTCATGAGTGCAACTGGGAACAACAAGCTCTTGGTCCGATAATGTATTCTCCCGACTACATGCCATGTGATGATTCTGGGAATATAAAAGGTTTGTCCTTTATTGGAAACAAGCTAGATGGAACGATTCCACCAGAGCTATCCCTTTTGAGTGCAGATTTGGAGCTTCTGGCATTGCCACGGAACATGGAACTGAAAGGGTGGATCCCAACGGAAATTGGATTACTAACAAAGCTGACAGAGTTGCGAACCTTCAATACAAAACTTTCAGGAACAGTTCCTACAGAGCTGGGTCTCCTGTCAGATTTGAGGTTTCTTGAGCTTGGGGGGGCTGGAATAAGTGGCACGGTTCCCAAGGAACTGGGCAATTTGGGTTGCCTAACACATGTAGTCTTGGTCATGACCCAGCTGACAGGTACGCTTCTACTGTGTGTTGCAACTTAGCATGCATTTGTAATCACTAATATGCTGGCTTCCACATGCCCATACCAGGCACAGTCCCTGCAGAACTATTCAAACTAGCAAACTTGATCAATTTTGGAATAAGTGATTGCCCTGGACTAGCCTCAGAGAAACTTCTGCCCAAAGTTGTTGAAAGCATGCCCCAACTTGAGTTGCTCATGCTAACCAACTCGGCTGATGATGTCAATGCCCGAATACCCAGTAAGTCTTACTTTGTTGTATCAGAATCGACATCTAGATTTCACTAATATCTGTACACCCAGCTGAAATTTCAAGGTTGTCCAATCTTGCAATCCTGTACCTTGAAGATTGGAACCTTAGAGGGCTGATTCCAAGCCAACTTGGGCAATTGACACAGCTGGTAAGTAAAGCTGTCAGGTAGATTGGTGATCTAGCTAATGATATGCTGACAGTTCTTTGCCACCCTTGATCTTTTTTCATAGACAGCTCTATCCCTAAGGGAGAATTCTCTTTCAGGACACCTTCTACCAGCATTATCAAAGCTAAGCAGTAAGTCTTCAAGTCAGGGATGTTTTGGCCAAACCATTAGCTTAGTTCACCATACATGTACTCTTTTCATCCAGAGTTGACTGAGCTAGACATGAGTTCCAACCAGCTAGAGGACAAGCTCCCACCAGACTTGTTTTCAACCCTCACTGCATTGAAGTGGCTGCGCATGAATGGGAATAGATTCATTGGCACTATTCCAAGTGAGATTGGTCTCATGTCCAACCTGCTGTGGGTACAACTGCAAGACACAGGCTTGTCTGGAACTCTACCCACAGAGCTCCTTGCCTTGACCAAGTTGAGTACCCTAGGCATCACAAATACATCCTTGTCTGGCAGCATCCCTAATGAGCTGTGTGGCATGATGCGTGGTTATGAAAGGGAATGCAATGAAGGTCATGGCTGTTTTGGCAAAACAACCAACACGAATGTGTGCCAAGCCACCTTACTGTGTGGATGCAGCTGTGGTCCATTCTGCACCGAATAGGCTCCAATTGGTCCTTTATCTGGCTGGCTAAGCTGGTTTCAGTGGCTTTTCCACTACTGGTTGCTTGGTTGGTCTCATGTCATCATGTAACTTCCATCTCCGGAACACCTACTTTCCCTAAACGAAACTTGGAGAAATCATAAATCTCCAGATACAGGTTGCCAAGCATGCGTCATGCTCCGCCAGTCAAGACTATTTTTTACAGTCGCATCATCGACACAATAAGAAAAGGCTTGGGCACCAGTCTTCGACAAATGAGCACAGGTTGGCTTGACGTCTTCTTCACCAACACCCTCTCGGCATCGGACCCCCTTCACTAGTGGCTGGCCGTCTCCTTTACTTACCTGCTAGCTAAGAGTACTCCGTCCAGCAGCTGCTCCTACGTGCAAAGTCATGCATGGGCTGTTTGCCATTCAACAGATTCGTGATTTATGCAGAATACACTGTTGGCGTTGCATCCGGAATCTCTCTCGTTTATACGCTTCGAGTGTTCGAAAAGAAGAGTTAAAAGTCGACAATGCAATTTCACTGGCCGTCTGGGACAGGAGAATGGAAAGTAGCCTTAGCTAGAAGCAAGACTCTCCGGTACACTACCTTAGAACAACCGTTTCGGTGACGCACCCTTTTAGTTGTTCGCAGCCTATGTTGAGCCTTCAACGACCAGTCCTTATCCTGATTTGAAACAATGTGATTGTCCATGTTCAACCCTGTTTGATGACATTGTGTTCCGTTGTGAGGTAAGCAGGCCCCTCTAAGATCGACCACAGTCCAAGCTTATCACTCGACGCTTGACGCTTTTGCATCATTCGTTCTTCCGGTACTACCGGGACCGCGACCGGTACCACTCGAACAATCGACCGACCAATGCCTGCGATAAGAGCCGTTCGTCTCCTTCACGGTGTTGTCTCTTGTGACGGCATATGGGCTGCCGCTGGAAAGCAAGCCGCATCCGCTAGCTGCTTGCTTCGTGGGCTCTCTCATCCCTAGCTAGCTACGTAGCCTTACCTCTCTGCTGTTTGCTATCGCACATTGCTGACTAAGCTCGGTATTGGTATGTGCTTGGTTCTCTGCTTGCCACCGGTACCGTATCATGAAGATGTGAGCAAACGTGAGTGACGAAGGTCGATCTTGGAGCCTGGAACTTTGAGCTTCTTTCCATGGTCCTCAATTTCTTGCCCCTGATCCCACAGAACCTAATCCTGAATTTCGACTGTTCTTTGCTTAAGCCTGGCCCCAGATGGCTTCCTTACATAATTTCCCAACTCTAAACCCCGTTAAATTCTTTCCACGGTCGCGGTTTGAAAGATGGCGTACCGTGGCGCGAGGGTGCCCATACCACCAGGCTGCGGAACAAGCAAAATTTGGCCGTTGGAGGCACTGGTTTTGATGGAGAAGTTACTATGGGTCAGAGGGGACTATGTGTGGTGGGGATGGGTGGCAGAGGAGGACCTCGGGCAGGAGGGTGCCATGTAAGTGCACCTCTCGCCATTCTGGCAAGATGGATACGACGAGTCCGGCGGTGACATAGGAGGGAGGAGCACATGTGTTTGTGTCCCGCACCTTTTCCGGCAAGGGAGCAAGTGCCCTTTGATTTGTCTTGTAGATGGCCATGCACACTGCTTCCACGAGCTCTGACGAAGCAACAGAAAGGGATAGAGAAGCCTCCTTTGACCTTTCACTATTCCGACAGATTATCGGGAAGAAGGCCAAAAGCTACGACAAAAGTTTCCTATTATACTTCCTTTTGCTGGAAGTCTTTCCAGTTTACCTGCTTCTTGGAAAACACAACAAAGATCGGACCACAAAACTTCAACGCTACGGCTCTTTGAAACTTGGTCTGCTGCGTGGATCTCTCAGCTGAGTATTCCCATACCAGCGTTTGGACTTCGGCTGGGAGAGATGCCGTGACATGCTTGACACACCACAGGGTTTCGGCCGCGACCCGAATCATGGACATGGCTCGGCACTGAACAGCCTCCACATCAGGAAACCTATCTGTGCTCTTGAGTGCCTTGACGGCCTTGTAGAATCTTGCTTTGAGAACGGACCCCGCAGAGCGTTTCCACACACCCAACGATTGTGGAGATTTGGAGCTAATTTCCACGGCTTGCGCCATGAAGTTTGGGTCATTCACTGTCCCCGGGCCTGCACGAGCCATGACTAGCTGGTAATCCTGTAACGGCCACACCCGTAACACGTCCAGAACAAAATTGTCTTGGCTCCACAGCGACTTGTCGACGTGGCCCATGGTTTGCTCCACCTTGCCTCCTTTCAAAGCCTGTAGAGCCACCTCTCGGTCAGCCTTGAGCTCCTGGGATGCCCCCTGAAACACAACAGGGTTGCCCTCCTTACTGTCGTCACCAGTGCCCTGAATGGCCGTCAGAACAATGTCTCGATCTCCCTGGATTTCTTTGGAAGCAAACTTTAATGCCATGGGCCGAATTGCAATGGCGCGGCGCATAAACACGGGGTCTGCACACAATTTTGGAGAAGCATGCTGGAGTATCCATTCCCAGCATTTCTCCACAGCCCTCAAGACCAAATCTGGGTCCCCGCGGAGCTCTTCAGAAAGATATTGGAATGCTCGAGGAGGCAAGGATTCCAGGTAAAATTCACGGTCCGACAGTACTGATGGCCCCGCGTATTTGAGCGCAAAAAGCTGGGTCTTGACGGCCTCGAGTACAATGTCCTTGTCGTCTTTGATGGCGTCAGCAGCATATTGGAGCAAACCTGACGAGAACCCGATGGCTTTCAAGACAAAGTCTTTTGTGTTCCACAAGGCTGTTGGTAGTTGATTGGCGAGGTTGATATCTTCTCGAATGGCAACCATGGCAATGCTCGAGTCCAATTGCAAATCTGCAAGCTGCTTGTTGGATGCAGATGATGACAAGATTGCATAGACCTTTGAATTTCGGCGCACGGCAGCCTTGACAAAGTGTTGTTGTGATTGAACGGATTCCGGAAGCTGCAGCAAGACAGTCTCTTGTTTCTCAATACAATCCAGTAAAAAAGTACCGATCCGTGGCAAATTGTTCGGGTACCTTTGACACTAAAGATCCACCACTGCTGCACATGGCAGCCATGGCCACATCTCGGTCCTCTTGTTGCTCCAAGGTTGCATTATTGGTGTAGACAGAAGCATCTTGCTGTAACTGAAAAATGAGTTGGATGCGTTCCGAGCCATGCTGGCTTACCAACTGTCGCTTGCCACATTCCTCGGCGATTTCCACATCGTCCTTGTACTCGTCCTCCAAATCCGAGTAAACATCCGGATCCTCTCGGACCCGCAAAAGCGCTTTCATTCGATCCGATACTAACTCAACGACTTCCTCTTCGTCCCATCCCAATTCGTCCATGCCCAAATCGACAAGCCATTTTCGATCTTCGTCCGCCAACCATTCCGATGGTTCAAAATTGTCATCTTCCATGGCAATTAATGCCAACCGTTTGGTCATCAATTCCTCTGGCATATAGTCCCAAAAACCGGACCGATTTCCCCTCACGAGGTCTTCGAGTTGTTGCTCATCCACCACTTGTTCCAAGAGCTGGGAAGGAACCAGGGGTAACAGATCGGCTAAGTCACCGTACTCTAGTGCCGCTTGGACCACTTCCAGATCCTCCTTGGATTGCTGGGACGCGATAGCGAAAATATGCGTGGCATTTCTTTGTAGTAAGAGTTTGTCATCGGGTTCTTGCTGATTGATTTGGAATGCTTTTAGTAATAGTGGCTTGTCGTTGTTATTGTTGTCGTTACCCAACAAGAGTTTGAGTTGCTCCTTGACTGCGAAATCCTTTTGATGCCGCAGAATAAAGGGCAGCAACGAGTGCACACAGAAGGTCTCGTTACTTCTCAATCGCAAGGCAATGGGAGCAATGTCAAAATACCGCTTTGCCGCATGTTTCGTATGTGTCTCGAGGACTTGCTGGACAAACTGAGGGTCGTCCAACAATGTAGGAGCTGCCAAGCCAAAGGCTCGCCCCTGGGAGATTTGGACGGCATGCAGCAAAAAAGCTGCATCTTGATCCAAGCCGTCCTTGGTCACCAGTTCTTTGAGTTCGTCCCATTTCTTCTTGGGAGCCAAGATCAAATCTCGCAGCATCGCGTTCAGAGGATGAGCAGAGAAATCATCTTGGGCACTACTACCGTCAGTACTATTATGATCTCTGCTGCACATTCTTGGTTTCTTCTGGGTGTTGGCGTCACTGGAGGAAGCACCACTACTTGTACCGGCAGAGAGTGAGCGTTTTCCATTCATCTTTTTGATACCCTCAACCCTGCTCATGCATCCTCTTCACTCTTCACAGAGCTCTTCATCAGCTTTGGGAGTGTCAGGAGTCAGGAGTAGTTACTTGGCATAGAGGCTCAGTAGAGTGCCATGAGACAGTGATAACAAATACTAAATTTTAAGGAGCAAGGGGGGCTAAGCTACCGGAGAGCAGTGGCTGCGATAGAGTGCCGTGAGAAGCTCTTCTAGACTACATAATGCCTTCCGACGAAGTTCATTTGATTTCATCAAGCGATGTTGCGTTGTTGCGTTCTCGGATAAACCCGTGCTCTGAATACCGCATGGTATTGGAAAGAGCTAACAATACACCACCAGGCTCACACCCCCAAACCAGAAGCTCCGCCCCCTACACTGCACAACCTGCTCGCCTGCACCACATTCTCAATCTGGCAAAGTGGAAAAAAACCACGGAAGCAGATTTTACTTCCAGTCTTGGAGCACAGTGTTCCTCTAAATACAAAAGCAATAGTACAGTTTCAGTCATAGTCTAATGTCACTTAGCAATGCTTAGACAGTCACGAATGAAGTCCACCATTCCTTCGAGCACTGTTGGCGTCGACTTCATTTTTATCGGCCGGTCTGTTGCACCGATTCTGTGAAATTCCTAATTCTGCAGAATCAATCCAGGCTTTTTTCCAATCCAGGCTGTTCTTTCAATGACCATGCTAATATTCCCCAACTCCCCGTACTGGTACTGGTGCATGGTAGCTAGCTAGCCAACCAGACACTGCGGAGTTGGCTTGTTGCAAGTTTGGTGGTGTCACGGTGTCGTCAGTTTTGGCTGGGAGGGTAACAGGTTACCAGTCGTGGTAGTTGCTTTGCTGGGCCTCTCTTGAGGCCACCTCTAGGTAGCTAGCTGGCTAGCTACCTAGCTAGCAAGCATTACCAGTAGTAATCAAATCATCTTTCTTAGCCCGTGATAGCTAGCTAGCCCGAGCCAGCAGTTGGTTCTCCCAGAGCTCCTTGCCCTCAGATCCATTCCCAGTTCCATTACAAGTATTATGCTGAGATGCAAGCTACCAATCAACCTTCCCGTTCAGCGACGTCTCTGTGGTTTCTACTCCATACCAAATATTCTGCGGAGGCCCCAGCTAGTTATCACTAGCTAGCTACCAATCAACTCTCCCAGCTAGTGACAGCCATAACAGTTCTCCCCAGATGTATGCAGCAGCATCAACAAAGCAAAGCAACTGAATAGAAATAGTGGAGCCACAACATGGGTGAGGGATTTTAATAGCCTATGACCCGTATTTCTGCAGAAAAAGGGGTAATTCTGCAGAAAAATATAATTCTGCAGAATTGCATAAGAGAAAAATTAAAATTCTGCAGAATATGTTTTTCTGCAGATATTTTCCCTGAATTCTGCAAAATTTTGGGATTCTGCAGAATTGTTATAACAGGTCGTTCCTCCGAGCACTGTTGGCATCAACTTCATTTTTATCGGCCGGTCCAAGTCCACCGTTCCTTCGAGCACTGTTGGCACCAACAACAAAAGATGGAGGAATCCAACGCTGATCAAGGTATGGATAGCTGGTTAGTGGATGCGACGGGATACAGCTTACAATTCAGCTTTACAGCTTTACAATTAGCAGGCTTATTCTAGCTTAATAATCAATAACAAAAAGAGAGAGATGGATGAACGTCCTTGTTGAGATTACGATCGTAATAGGAGTAAGAACAAGGGGATGCTTTCGAGCGAATCCAAGGGAAGTGAGTTGCAGGAAGGACTACGATGAAAGTGCAAGAGGAAACTCATCAGGAGCAATCTGCATCAAGGAGTAGCACATTCCATTGACAACCATAGGGAAGACAATAAGAATAGAATGAGTAACACTCATAACCTCGCATGCTACCATGCGACAATACCATTGTGCATTGATTAATCTAACGATCTAAGAGATGTAAAGTTTGTATTTCCAAATAAGTGAGAA